TTTAAAAGAGTTGAGTCTCCTTCAGCAACCCATTTTATTTGTAACTTTCACCAAAAGAAATTATATCTGGGTTGTTTAGCATATCAAATTCTACAAAGATGAAATGTGGCAAGTCACTGCCCTTTATGTGTTGTGAAAAGAACTACTAGAAAGCTAGAGAATTAAGAGATCTCCTCAAATCCTCAAATCAAAATTCTAGATTTAAGGCAAGTATAAACATATGGAGAGGAATAAAAGGGAGTTTTTTGTTTGTTTGTTTGTTTGTTTGTTTAACTTAGAGCAATGACCAAGTAAGAAAAAGCACATACTTCCCCATCACCACCCACCACCCTATTCCATTATGAAGGAATATGGTAGGGGTAAACTTATTTGGAGTTGTAAATCAGCAACATTTCAAAAATTCCTTCTGACCTGTCTGTTAAACCTCAATATTCATAAAAGATTATTTACAGAACTTGCTGAACATGACATGATCATTTGTTTTGAGGACCCAGAATGAATGGGAAATGGCAACACTAAAGATTTGAGGAAAAAATAACTTCGTTAATAAGAGAATAGTTAAATTATTGTATATCTATGCTATGGAATACTAGGAAATCATTAAAAAGATTTAAGTAAATCTATGTACACAATGTACACAGACACAAAAAACTGTCTACAATGTATTAAGTAGGGAAAAAAAGTACCAGATTAATATACGCTATATAATTTAGCTAGTATTAAATATATATTAAAAATATATCATCTAATATGTAAATGTTATAAATACATATATTATAATTAGTATGTTTTTATATGCCTAAAAGGATATAAACCAAACTGATAATAGTATAGTACTTTGAATAGTGGGATGGGAGGGGTAAGGAGAGACAGGGAACTTTTATTTTTTTACTTTATGCATTTCTGTATTGTTTGATTTTTATAGATAATTTTATTTTACAATGAGAAAATATGTTTTAAACAACCATACAAGGAAAAATTCCCTGTGGTATCAAACACTCGAATGAGTTACAACAAATCAGGCACTATAGAAGGGATTAAAGAATAGATATATGATATTGACTAAAAGTAGGGAGAATTGATTTTCAATAAACAAAAATTCTAACTATTCCCACTTTTTTTCCTCCTTCAGAAAGCTACTCTTTTACAAGATCCCCTACATATTAGTGAGTTTGGTCCTGCAACTGGAGGTCAAAAGCCATACAGGTAAGGAAGGAGTGATGATATGACAGAGTTCCAGGGGGGACTGTTCTCTCCTCTATGCCTCTCCTATAGTAACTCGATGTGTTGCTGACCATCACATTTATACCTCCACCTCAACTCTCTGCCCTGGGTTTTGGGCCTGCAAACACAATTGCCCACTGGATAGCACCTCCGGTACATCTCACAGGAACCTTAAAGTCAGCATATTCAAAACAGAACTCAGCATCTTCCTTCTGCGACCTGACCTTCCTCCTGGGTTTCCTCAGATAGGGCATGATGTCCTTATCCCCAGATCACGTAAGCCAGAGTCCTGGATGTCACCTTGTCACCTTTGCCTTCTCTTGCCCCTTCAACGTCCCCCACATCCAGCCAGTCACCACATGGTTTATTGTGCTTCTTTAATATACCTGGATAACATCTATGACTTTCCACTGCCATGTGCTCAGGCCCAATTACCTCTGTTCTGGGTTCCTATGGTGTTTTCCTAGCTGGACTCTTGGCCTTCTCTAGACCATGCCCCATTACAACAGAGGACTCTTTCCGAAGCACAAATCTGATTATGTATCTCTTCCTTTAACACCTTTGAATGGCTCCTGGTGCCCTTAGGAGAAGGTTCTAAACTCTGCAACAGCTTACACAGATCTTCCTTGTGTCTCTTTTCAATTTTTCCCTTCCTCATCTGTTGCATCCTCTCCACTCCTGCCTTGAGCTCCTGCCACAAATGAACTCACAGTTCTCAGAAAGCCCCTTGTTTGTTTTTCATCTGGGCCCCAACATGATGGTCCCTGCTCTGAAACCCTACTCTCTATCTACTCTTCTTCCTCTTCATGAATAACTTCAACTCATCAAGTCTTCACTTCTAACACTTTAAAAAAAAATCATTTCTCAAAATTAATTTAAGAGGGGCCCCTCCATAACATCCTGTGCTTACACATCTTATAACACTTACCAGACTGTATTATGTGCTGCCCTATTATGTGGTGTGCTCCTGAAGGTATGGACTGTACCTTGGTCATGGGTACATAGTAGGCTGCCAATAAGCCTTTATAGAATGGATATGAATGAATGAACGGGATAAGATAGAGGCTGGAACCAGGTCATAAAGGGCCTTATAATCGAGGCTAAGGAGTTTGGCTTTATCCATTATGTTCTTGTCATAGTCAGCCTTATATTAAAGTAGTTACTTGTGATGTGACAATCTCTTCCAGTATTTTCTGAGCCCTTAGAAGGCAAGAGTATGTCTTATTTTATTTTTTAATTTTTATTTTTTTTAGGAGGTTTGGAGAAAGTTTTTTTTATTAGTTTCCGGTGTACAAACAACATAATGATTAGTCATTTGTGCCCTCATAAAGTGATAATCCCAAAAGTCTACTACCCATCTGACACTGTATATAGCTATTCCAATACCATTGACTATATTCCTTATGCTGTACTTTACATCCTATGACCAAACATATATATATATATATATATATATACATATATACATATACATATATATGGCCAAAAAATTGTATACACATTTTGAGAAAGGAAAAAACTGTATTAAAATTATAATACTCAATATATACCGATAACTAAAGATGAATACAAGTCACGTGTATACATTTTTTTGGCACCCCCAATATATACTGGGGGTGCCATAAAAATGTATATAAATAGACACTTTGGTCAACATCACTCAAGCAGTAGTTCGCCGTAATCAGAAGTGTCTAGACACTGATGGTAACCACTTTGAGCACCTCTTGTAATTGCAGAAGTCAAACGTGACGTGTATTCATCTTTTGTTATCGGTACCAAAGAAATATTGATAATTTTGTTGGGTATAATAATGATGATTTTTGTAAGAAAATGTTTATTTTGAGATGTGTTCTGAGGCATGTAGGGGTTAAATAACATAATGTTTGTGATTTCTTTTTTAAAAAGATGGTAATACAGACAGCTTAGAATTTCCACCTGTTTTCATGTTACTCTGAAAAAGTGTCAGTTTTAATTTTGGTGTTTATTTAAGGTTATTTTTAAGCTAATTGTATAATAAAATAGGCTCTAACTTTGAATACGTGTATCTTAAAATTTATCCCTGAAGGCAAGAAGGAGAGTTCTGCCACTATTTGACTCAGGAAAAGCATCTTTCTTGCAAAGTTAATTCTTAAAGACAACACATTTGAAGTGCAGTGATTTAAAATGCACTCTGAGGAATACAGTATATACACACAAGACGCCCAAAAATGGTCTTTGCCTGCAAGGCACCTTCAGTTCAAAATGAGTAAATATTATTTGGGTTTTCAAATTAGACTCTGTCACAAATGTGAGCTCTGTGACCTGACCGGTGTGAACTTACACACGGTGCTTCTGAGATAATGTATGAAAAGCATTTTCCAGTTGTACAGCATTATACAAATAATAATTTATATTAAATGTCTGGAAAAATGAAAAAATATACAAAAAATAGAACTTATCATTACGTCAAGAATCCTTCTTGTTACATTATTTGGGCAAATTTACTTTTTTTAGCTGATGAAAATATAGAGTATCTGTTAACATTATTATAAATTTTCCTCAGGTTCCTCAATTGAATAATGGCGTCTCCTGGCACTAGACTTTTTCTTATTTAAATTAGTCAAAGGAAGTTTGTCATCTTTGTAAAATCAAATATTCTCAGAATGTTCAAAGAAGCTGTAGACTATACATGACTTCTCTAGATATATAGACTCCTGAATCTAACTTGAGTTTATGATGTATATGAGACCTCAATTTATATATGAATTGATTTTTACTATGAAGGGATTACTATGCTGTTTCTGATAAAATTCGTTTCAGCCTTTTTGAAAAAAATAGTTCAGTATTATAACATATTATCATAGGTGCCAAAGGATAAAAATTGTTTGTTTCTAAGGATCTTAGCTAATTGCTGATTCCTACGGGGGAAAAATAGAAAGCCAATTTCAAAATAATCCTGCTGATATGGTATTTTTTCTGAGCTTTTGCTTTTCTAAGCTCATTTCTACATTTCTGCTGTTTTTGGAACTCTCAGAGAGTAGAGGAGTCTTATAGCTATTTTTTAAGTGAAATGTGGTAGCAAATGGAAGTGGATGTATAGGAAAGCAGGATTTCAAAGTTCATTCCTACTTTATTTAGATACCATTTATCAAACACTTACTGCGTGCTAAGCACATGTAGTAACTAAAGTATCAAAACAGCACAGTGGGGTAGGTACTAGCTTCATCCGCATTTTACAGATGAGGAAACTGAGGTAGAGAGAGGCTATTCTCTTGCCCGTGGTTATTACCCAGCTGAGCAGGGGCAGATTTAGGATTCTGATTAGCCCATCTGATCCTGCCCCACCTCCACCATGCTCATAACCATGTTCTTCTGCCTCTATGATTGCTAGCACTGAATCTCTCATGATTATTTTCTCTTCCCATGTCTCTACTAGAAAAGACACTGTTTTTTAGGAAGTCTTAATTTTTGTCTTAATAAAAAAGGCTCATTGATTGGGCAAGGGAGAACATTTAGATTTTTTTAAACACAGGGGGAGGTAGTAGGCAAGAACCAAGATTCCATGTAGTACTAGTGGGATAAATGGCTGAATTAAAAAGGATTTTCAATTCAAGTCAGAAATTCTAAGAAGTTTCCATCAACCTATGCAGAGCATGAGACAGCTCTCCTACCATTACTTGCATCCTGCTTTTCTGAATCACGAGTTGTGGGCTTGGACAGATTACTTGGCCTCTATGACATCTATAAATGCAGTAGTAATTCCCAGCTCAGCCTCCTTCCGGGGGGCTGGCTCACTCGCATGAGCCAGTGCAGGGGTTGGCAAACTTTTGAGATGGAAGAGCCAATCCTGTCCCCCACCACAATTTAAAAATTATTCGAGAGCCATAAATATATTTTTACAAATAAGGAAAATTTAAAAGTCCTTTAAAAATTTTATAAATGAAACTATGATAGTTTTATTTTCATTTTCAATTTTACTTCAGAGTCACATGTACATATCCCAAGAGCCGCATGTGGCTCGCAAGCCTCAGTTTGCCGACCCCTGAGCTAGCATATAAAAAGTACCCACGCCAGAGTCTGCGATAGAGTCACTGCTCAACTAAATGCAAGTTGCTATCACTGAGCACAGTGGGAGAAACAATATTTAACCCAGTAAGATTTTTTCAGGTTGCTGAAAATTAGCCAAGAGTCCAATACAAGTACAGAAATAACTCCAATGGGGTGAGATGGGATTAGTGTGATACGAGAAGTGGGAAAAAGTGCTATGGGAGAGGTTCCCCACTCACTGGTGGAGTTAGGGAAAGCCCTAAAGAGAAGGAGTTACTCATTTCAGTGAAGCTGGCTTTTCCGGAAGTCTAGAACATGCATGGGTCATTGTTGGGAGATGATTTCAGGTGGTACTCTGACGTGGCATGAAATAGCTTTGAATTCCATGGTGAAGAAGTGATTCCTCTTTTCAACTAGTGTGATCTCACTAGGGAGACGTTCTCGGCTTGGTGCCAGCAGTGGCGGCTCTCTAACACACGCTCATCTGCCTTTTTGTCAAAGGGAGCAGGCCTCAGGCTTGGAATATGGTGCATCTGCTTAGAATCTGGGTTGCTTTATGCTGCTTTTACAGACGCCCACTATTTATGGCAAGTGATACTGGTTTTCCCAGTAAAGTAGTGATACCAAGTTTTCTTTAGAAATAAACTGCTCTTAGCAAAAAAAAAAAAAGAGTTGATTTAAAGAAAAAATATTAAGCAAATAATATTACATATAGTTCATGGATTATGATAAATGGCATGTGAAACAAACTCTGAGCTAGGGCTATGAAAGAGGGACAGAATTTTACGAGGGACAGTGAGAGTACGCCTGATATGGGTATAGTTTGAGTAAAGGGATGTGGGCAAAAAGTATGTTTGAAGAGTAATAAATAGTTCAGTTTGGGGAGAACAAATTTCATTACTGATAAGTAATAAAGCTAGAAGTACAAAACTGTATTAAAATTCCATTAGCAAAAAAGTTTTACATACCTGTGAATAATTGTTGATATTCCTCAACTGCTGTTTCTTATCATTTTTTTGAAAGTTTTCTTCTGTTTCTGTAGATCTGAAGAGAAAATTAAGCACTTCAGTCAACTTAAATCTGAACTTTTTCTTAAAGACAATACTTTGAGGAAAATACTTTGTTTAATTACGGAACTTAAAGTAGCAGCCCAGAAAAACTTCATTCTGAAAAGACTTTTCTGGAAAGTAGGTGTTTTATTTAAAATTTTTAAAACTTGTTTCATCTGTTTACCAATTGCAGCATATTCAAGCATAAAGTAAAATCCTGTATAAATAAATGTCATCTTGTATTTTGATGCCGTATTTTACAATGTTGATTAAATTTAATGCAATCATGCCTTAACACTTGGAGGGTTGTGATGTAATCAACAATGTATATGTGTGTGGGGGGGAGTAGATGGGAGGAGGAGAGTGGTAGCAAAAAGATAGTAGCTCACATGGGTTGGGTCTGCAGTCAGAGAAAAGAGAGGTAATTAAGAGGGAAGCTTCCGACATGCGAGATGTGTGAGTACAGAGAGAGAGATGAGGAAGTAGATTTGAAGAAGTTTTACATGCAGCTTCCCCACAATAAAAATATACTTTTAAAAAATTACATTTGAGCTGGCTGAGTGGCTCACTTGGTTAAGAGCTCGCTCAAGAGTTTGAGCTCTAAGCAACAGCGGTTCAATTCCTGGCCCAAGCTGAGCAGCTGCTGAGTTGCCAACAGGTAGCAGGATGGCTCAGCTAAAAAAAAAAATTACTTTTGAGTGTATGACTGTTATTTTTAAAAAGGTCTCTCCTGGGGAGTTGAAACAACCTAGTTCTCACTCAGCAAGTTTCAGACTTACTCGGTAAGACTTACTACTTGGTTTCATTTTCAGTCTCTGGTGAAGGTATTGAGAAGCCCAGGATAGTACTGGTGCTGGTGCTAATGAGGCTAATTCTGGCCAGAGGTCTCATACATAGTCACCACCATTTCATTGAGCAGTTGCAAAGTGCACAGCCTCCCCAAACATTCAAGACAGTCCCGGCTATTTCTTAGATTGTAAGTGTTTCACATGTAGGATGATCAACAGTCCTGGTTTGCCTGAAGTAGGGTGGCCAAACTGTCCCAATTGACCACCCCACTCAAGATTTAGAACATTTCTATCACCTCAGAGGTTACCTTGTGCCCTTTAGCAGTTTCCTCTCATCCCAGGCATGTATTGTGCTTTCTGTCACTATGGATTAGTTTTGCTTGTCTTAGGTCCCCATTTACATGGACTTGTACCCTATGTTCTCTCTTGTGTCTGGTTTCTTTTGGCATAATATTTTTGAGATTCTTTCACATTGTTGCTGGTAGGTGGGAGATATTTTATGAGTGATAATTCCTGAACCAGTGAGGAGGTGGGAGATCATAATAATAACTGATATTTATTAAGCACTTATAATGTGCTAAGCACTGTTCAGGCTTTACAAATACTATCTTATTTAATCCTAACATCAACTCCATGAGGGGATATTAAGTCCACTGTAGAGATGAAGAAACTAAGTCATGGAGTACGTAATTGGCCAAATGTCATACAGCTAACTGCTGGCAGAGCTGGGGTTTGAACTCAAGAACCTGGCTCCAGAGTCAGTGTGTAAAATCACCACGCTGTGCTAACTTATCAGGGCTCTGGCTAAGCCCAGGCACTTCTCAGAGGGCCTGCCATACATCCTTCTCCTCTTCTCCTCTTCCGTCTCTCCACCTGCCATTCTCAGCCTCTTCTCCTGCCATAGCACTTAAGGAAGGGCACACATATCCCTGTCGAAATAAAGAATCTAAGTTGTCACCAGTAAAAAAAAAGAAACTCCTCAGGAAAAAAAGGAACAACAGGGCCAGCCGAGTGGCGCGTTGGTTAAGACTTGGCTCTGGACATCAGCTCTGAGCAGCAGGGCCCTGGTTCAGATCCCACATTAGGACCAGTGATGCTGCGCCCTCTACAGGTAAGATCGTGAACAACAGCTTGACCTGGAGCTGGGCTGCCATGAGTTGCCTGCGACGGCGTAGGCTGCAGTGGGCTGCGTGGGCTGCCGTAAGCTACCGTGAGTGTCTGGCAGCTGGTGTAAGCTGCCAAGAGCCGCCGTGGCCGGTAACCGATCTGCCTCAACCAGGAAGAACTCAATGAATACCAACATGGACCAGTGAAGCGACATCCTCCACAACTAGATTGAAGAACAAAAGGACAGCTACTTGTCTGTTCCCCTTCCCTGATTCCCCAATGCTGTTCCCTTCCCCTAATTCCCCAATAAAATCTTAAAGAAAACAAAAACAACAGGAATAGAAAAGAGAAGCAATTACATTTCTCATTAGTACCAATTTGCCATACTTATTTTCATGCTTGATTTATTTCATGAGACTGGACACAAACACACAAAAAATTGGTTTCCACATTCTTAAGTCAGTGTTTATTTTGGCAGAAATGGCAAAAGTATTTTGCCACTGTGTTAGCAGAAGTATTATAATATTAATATCATTCCGAACCATCTTCAAAGGTTATACTCGGGCTCTGCATTTGTTTTCCTAATAGTAAACATTTTAATTTTATTTTTATTTATTTACATATTTAATAGTAAACATTTTGAAATGAGAGCTTATCTAGTCCTTTCATTGGACCTTCACAAAAGCCAAATTACTTTGGCAAGGCAGGCATGAGAGTAGCCCCCATTTAATACATCATTCCAAGGTGACTGAATGATTTGCCTGAGATTATATCCCTACTTCTGGATGATCTTCAATATTAATGACCAAGCCGAGTATAGAAGGCCCCGCCCAGCATCACCCTCTAGACTTTAGCTCTCGCTCTGTTCACCAGGACAGTGGTCTCCTGATATAAGTAAAAGTATGTTTTCACTTTGGGTTACGCTAGTATTAATGAGAGAGATTGTAAATCACTCCCTGGTCAGAGAACAAGCCATTTCTCCTTATTTTTATCAGGTAAGCATAGCAAGTTTTACCATCAGATACCTTAATTTCATCTCCTTTCCTCCTTGCTTTCACAGACCAGTGACCTTTTCTATTTCCTAGTGAACATGCTTCACCAGTACTTGCCAGAGTCGAGGGATAAGAGCGCACTTCAAAATAAAAGCCAAAGAGCAGATGAGCTGATGTAAGTACTAACTGGATAATCATAGAATTTTTTTCCCCTATGGTGTTAAAGATAAATGGAAGGCACCAGACAAACTATATACTGTTTTAATGATGGATGGTGCTGCAAGTTTTGCTTCACATAGATTTTTAAAAATAGCATTCGTTTTGTTCTAATTTTAAAAGAAAGACTACAGGGGAAAAAATGGGTATATGGAGGAAGGATACTTTTCATTGTATTCCCTTTTCTTTAACCTTTGAAATTTTAAGCCAAATATTACCTACATGAAAAAGTTAAAATTATTAAAAATAAAGTAGTGCATGATTATCATAAAAACTTTGGAAAAATATAAGTATGAACAAACAATATGAAAATGACTTTTAATCCCGATATCCAACAAACAATATGAAAATGACTTTCAATCCCGATATCCAGTTATTAATTCATTCATTCAACAAATGTTTCTGAGTGCTTCCTATGTGACAATCACAGAGTAGGCAACCAGTGTTGGCAATTTTATATTACAGAATTTCCTGCCTGTACTTTTTCCTACATGGATATCTGAGTGTAATTCTTTCAAGGATTGCTAACTTTGTAGAATTCTGAACTTGCGTTGAAACCATGCTATTTCCGTGCTTTTTTCTCTGTTTTCTAGGGCATGCATTGAAATCATACAGACTCTGGGACTGATGTTCAGAGAAACCGAAACTGAGTCATCACGTCTGAACACACTGGCAGCTAAGAAGTAAGGTCTCAGAGAAAATACTGGGACCTTGTAGTTGCAACCCATTAACTACTCTGTTGATTGTCTTCCAAAACTCATAGCTCTCTAACCTCTCTGCTCAATCCCCTTGTAAGCACATTAAACTCTTTTGTCTCTCTATTTCCTTCTGCGATGAACAGATTAATTGGCACATACTGAGCTCTCTTTGTCTCTCTGGATTATTAAGGGCACAAAGATTTTTCTTAGCATAATTTTATCTTTTGTCATTGTCTGGTGAACTTGAAAAAGACCAATGACCCATTGTACCTTAAAAGCGGGGACAGGGGGAGGGTCTCTACTAGAATTTTCCAGAGTATTCTTACATCCACATGACAGAAAAATTACATTGCAAAGGTAGAAATTACAGTAGTTTCATTTAATATATAATTATGTGACCTTGCAGTGAATGATGTTAGAGGGTTTACTAACATAGAGAGTAAGCTGCTGTAATAAAGCTATTCTAAAATATGTGGCCCAAGGGTGACAGAAATTTCTATCTTTCTTGCATAACAGTCCAGAGTAGGTAGTCAACCTTTCCTCCAAAAGATCAGCCAGAGGCATAAGTTCCTTCCCCTTTATGCTCTGCCATCTTCTATCATGCCATCATGGTCCTTATGATTAAAGCTGGCTGATCTTCTTGATTTCATTACACCCTGTGGGAAGCAGTAAGAGAAGCAAAGGGCAAGCAAGGTTCCTTTTTCAACAAGGCATATAAGACTTCTGCTCATGTTCTATCGATGAGAACTGTAGGCATGTGACCATAATTAGCTGCAAGAGAGGCAGGAAAATGTATCTGTAGTTACACAGTTATGTACCTGACTAAACTTTGGATGGTGATGGGGATATCTGTAATTAAAAGGAAGAATGCAAGCATGTATAATGGGGACAATAACATCCTTTGCCACAGAAGGTATGTGTTTGCATGTTTTGCATATTATCTGCTTGACCTTTTTATATGATTTATAGACTATGAATTACATCCTTGGGCAATATTCTGGCTAAAATCTTAATTTTTTTCTACCCTCATCAACTGTTTATCTAAGTTTCCTGTATTAGAAGGTGGGACAAAGATGAGGGCCATGTGGGAGCTCTAAAACATTCGAACCAGGAAAAGAATAAGAACTGTTCGTAATATTTGCCCATGTTATTTATTAGAAATCTTTATAAATAAATTTTAATGATAATATTCATTAACATTTCTTAAGCAACTTGCCGTGTGCCAGGGTGTATGGTCATACTATGCTTTATAGCAGGAGTGGTCAAAAATTTCTATAAAGAGCCATATAGTAAACATTTTTGGCTTTTCAGGCCATATAGTTTCTGTTGCAACCACTTAACTGTATTTTTAGCACAAAAGCAGCCGTAGACAATACATAAATGAATGTGTTCTGATAAAGTTTTATTTACAAAAACAGGCTGTGGACTATGTGGCCTGTAGGCCATCATCATTTGTTGACCCGTTTTAAAGCAAACAAGGGAAAAACACTCTGTTATTTTCTCTGCATACTTCTTTATGCAGTTGGTAGTACTGTCATTTCCCCAATTTCCAAGATGGAGATTCAAGATTATTTCTAATATTTCTGTCTTCTCCCACACTGAAATTATTGCTAAATCATGTTACTCTTTTTGTGTACCTTTGGGTCCCTACCTTTCTTTATCCAACTTGAAAAATATCACTGTTATTAACCTCTGCTATAAAATGTTGTATTTTAATTGTTTTCTCTTAACTTGATTCCACCACATTGGACCTGCTGTATCAAATTTCTTCCCTGATATGACTAATCTTTTCAGGTCCTTCCATACATATATTACATTGCTGTAGTAGAGTGTGGGTGTAATACTAAACTTTCAGCCAATTTTGATATGCATTGGGTCACATCATGTTATCCATAAAAATACTAACACAGTGAATATCTAATAAAACTGCATGAGTGTTCTATTGCCCTGTAACAAATTACCACAAACTCAGTGGCTTAAAATAATGTAAAATTTTTATCCCATAGTTTCTGTGGATCAGGAAATCTGGGCATAGTTTTGTTGGATCCTCTGCTCAGAATCTCACAAGTCTGCAATCCAAGTGTCATCTGGGGTGGCAATCTCATCTGAGGCTTGGGATCCTCTTCCAAGCTCATGTGGGTGATTGCTGGCAGAAAAATTTCCTACATATAAACTCAAGATGACTTGCTTCCTGGCATGAGAATATCTCTAAGCTCAGGGAAGGCTTAATTAAGCTCTCTCTTTAAAGGGCTCTCCTGATCAGGTCCACCCAGTATAACCTCCCTTTAGCTCAAAAGTCAGCCAATTGGCAACCTTAATTAAATATGAAAAATCCTTTCATCTTTCTCATCTAACATAACATAACCATAAGAGTGATACCCTAACCTATTTAATAGCCTTGTCAAAATTTAAGGGGAAGAGATTATATAGAATATAGATTACCAGGGGGTTGAAATCTTGGAAGCTATTAGAATGCAGCCTATCACAATAACATAAGATTGAGTTACGAGACTATAAGTTTGCCTTTCAAAGTCTGTATTTTAAAATATAATACATTAAAAATTCTTACATTAGAAATAATAACTGTTTAAACAAAGTATCAAACTGTTGACACCATTTTTGTAAGGCTGTGAAGTCAATCCTATATTGACTTTATTTTCAGGATAAAACTAAAATTTAAATGTAGGTTAAAATTTCTTCTATCTAGGGCCAGCCGAGTGGCATATTGGTTAAGAGCTGGCTTGGGACACCAGCTCTGAGCAGCAGGGCCCCAGTTCAGATCCCACATGAGGGCCAGTGACACTGCCCTCTACAGCTAAGATGGTGAGCAGCAGCTCGACCTGGAGCTGGGCTGCCATGAATCACCGGTGACGGGGTAGGCGGCAGCCCCTGCTGCAGTAGGCTGCCATAAGCTACCATGTGTGACCGGCAGCCAGCATGAGCGGCCGGCAGCCAGTGTGAGCTGCCAAGAGCTGCTGTGAGCGGTCTTCCAGAGGCCGGAGACCAATCTGCCTCATCTAGGAAGAGCTCAATGATAATACCAATATGGGACAGTGAGGCAATGTCCTCCACAACTAGACTGAAGAACAAAAGGGCAGCTCTCATCTGTTCCTCTCCCCCAATTCCCCAATAAAATCTTAAAAAAAAAAAAAGTTCTTCGATCTATTATTGGCCTAGTGGATTTTATTTTATTATTTTATTTTTTTAAAGATTTTATTGGAGAATTGGGGGAGAGAAACAGCGTTGGGGAATTGGGGAAGGGGAACAGACAAATTGCTGTCCTTTTGTACTTCAGTCTAGTTGTGGAGGACGTCGCTTCACTGGCCCACGTTGGTATTATCAGTGTGCTCTTCCCGGGTGAGGCAGTTCACTGGCCATTGGACGGCGGCTCACGGCAGCTCACGCCAGCTGCCAGCCATTCACGGTGACTCATGGCAGCCCACTGCAACAGGAGCTGCAGCCCAGCTCCAGGTTGAGCTGTTGTTCACCATCTTAGCTGTAGAGGGCGCAGCGTCACTTACCCTCATATGGTATCTGAACCAGAGCCCTGCTGCTCAGAGCTGGCGTCCCAAGCCAACTCTTAACCAACGCGCCACTTGGCCGGCCCAGCCTAGTGGATTTTAAATTGAGTTGGCAGGGCCAGCCAAGTGACTCAGTTGGTTAAGAGTTGGCTTAAGAGTGCGGGCTCTGAGCAACAGGGCCGGCGGTTCGATTCCCACATGGGCCAGTGACGCTGCGCCCAAGCTGAGCTGCCACGGAGCTGCCAACAGGTGGCAGGATGGCTCAGCTGGTGTAACAACAAGATTGCCTGTTCAATGATGGGCTAGCCCCACCTGCAACTAAGACTGAACTCAGCACCTTGAGCTGAGCTGCCACCAGAATGGCTCAGTGGATAGAGCGTGTGCTCTTAACAAGGCTGCTGATTCGACTTCCGCATGGGATGGTGGCTATGCCCACCTGCAACTAAGATTGAACACAGCACCTTGAGCTTAGAGGCCATGAGCTGCCCATGGGCAGCCAGATGGTGACTGGCGCCCTCTACAACGAAGACTGAAGAACTTGGCTGTTCCCCTCCCCCAATTCCCCAATAAAATCTTTTAAAAATAAATAAATAAATAAATAAATAAATAAATAAATAAATAAATAAATAAATAAATAAATAAATTTAGTTGGCAGAAGGGGTAGATTACAAATTAAACTCCATTTGAGCAAATNGATAAAGTTTTATTTACAAAAACAGGCTGTGGACTATGTGGCCTGTAGGCCATCATCATTTGTTGACCCGTTTTAAAGCAAACAAGGGAAAAACACTCTGTTATTTTCTCTGCATACTTCTTTATGCAGTTGGTAGTACTGTCATTTCCCCAATTTCCAAGATGGAGATTCAAGATTATTTCTAATATTTCTGTCTTCTCCCACACTGAAATTATTGCTAAATCATGTTACTCTTTTTGTGTACCTTTGGGTCCCTACCTTTCTTTATCCAACTTGAAAAATATCACTGTTATTAACCTCTGCTATAAAATGTTGTATTTTAATTGTTTTCTCTTAACTTGATTCCACCACATTGGACCTGCTGTATCAAATTTCTTCCCTGATATGACTAATCTTTTCAGGTCCTTCCATACATATATTACATTGCTGTAGTAGAGTGTGGGTGTAATACTAAACTTTCAGCCAATTTTGATATGCATTGGGTCACATCATGTTATCCATAAAAATACTAACACAGTGAATATCTAATAAAACTGCATGAGTGTTCTATTGCCCTGTAACAAATTACCACAAACTCAGTGGCTTAAAATAATGTAAAATTTTTATCCCATAGTTTCTGTGGATCAGGAAATCTGGGCATAGTTTTGTTGGATCCTCTGCTCAGAATCTCACAAGTCTGCAATCCAAGTGTCATCTGGGGTGGCAATCTCATCTGAGGCTTGGGATCCTCTTCCAAGCTCATGTGGGTGATTGCTGGCAGAAAAATTTCCTACATATAAACTCAAGATGACTTGCTTCCTGGCATGAGAATATCTCTAAGCTCAGGGAAGGCTTAATTAAGCTCTCTCTTTAAAGGGCTCTCCTGATCAGGTCCACCCAGTATAACCTCCCTTTAGCTCAAAAGTCAGCCAATTGGCAACCTTAATTAAATATGAAAAATCCTTTCATCTTTCTCATCTAACATAACATAACCATAAGAGTGATACCCTAACCTATTTAATAGCCTTGTCAAAATTTAAGGGGAAGAGATTATATAGAATATAGATTACCAGGGGGTTGAAATCTTGGAAGCTATTAGAATGCAGCCTATCACAATAACATAAGATTGAGTTACGAGACTATAAGTTTGCCTTTCAAAGTCTGTATTTTAAAATATAATACATTAAAAATTCTTACATTAGAAATAATAACTGTTTAAACAAAGTATCAAACTGTTGACACCATTTTTGTAAGGCTGTGAAGTCAATCCTATATTGACTTTATTTTCAGGATAAAACTAAAATTTAAATGTAGGTTAAAATTTCTTCTATCTAGGGCCAGCCGAGTGGCATATTGGTTAAGAGCTGGCTTGGGACACCAGCTCTGAGCAGCAGGGCCCCAGTTCAGATCCCACATGAGGGCCAGTGACACTGCCCTCTACAGCTAAGATGGTGAGCAGCAGCTCGACCTGGAGCTGGGCTGCCATGAATCACCGGTGACGGGGTAGGCGGCAGCCCCTGCTGCAGTAGGCTGCCATAAGCTACCATGTGTGACCGGCAGCCAGCATGAGCGGCCGGCAGCCAGTGTGAGCTGCCAAGAGCTGCTGTGAGCGGTCTTCCAGAGGCCGGAGACCAATCTGCCTCATCTAGGAAGAGCTCAATGATAATACCAATATGGGACAGTGAGGCAATGTCCTCCACAACTAGACTGAAGAACAAAAGGGCAGCTCTCATCTGTTCCTCTCCCCCAATTCCCCAATAAAATCTTAAAAAAAAAAAAGTTGCTGAAAATAAAGGACTATAAATATAACAGTGAATGAAATGTCAATTCAAAATTAATATCAGGAAAAACTTCTAAATGGAGTGTTTGGTTGATTTTGGAAGGGTCTTCTAAAAGAAAGATTGGCCATTTAAAAAATAGCCTGAATAAACATTAGCAAATATCCTGTAGGACATATCCTGCTTATTTCTGAGAAATGTGCTGACATGATTCTTCTATTGCAGATATGAGAACTAGCTTTGCTTTTTGAGTTGGAAAAAGAAGGGGAATGGTATTTTTATTAGAATGCTGGTTAATCATAAACTTCTAAACATGGTGATGATGTAAATGATTGTAAAAAGATAGGAAGCCTCAAATATTACTAAACAAGGATTATTTATAGTCTCCTTTTATTCCACTATGAAAGGAATGCTTATGGTTATAGAGAATGTTTATACAATCCTATGTGTAAATTCTTTCACTACTCCTACCTGTGAAAGCTGCTCTGATACTGTCTTCAGTTAGGCAACTGTATTTCTTTTCTTTTCTTTTTTAAATTAAAGTTTATTGGGGCGACAATTGTCAGTAAAGTTACACAGGTTTCAGGTGTACAGTCCTGTAATATATCATCTACAATATATGTCACATTGTGTGTTCACCACCCAGAGTCAATTCTCCTTCCATCACCATATATTTGATCCCTTTTGCCCTCATCTGTCATCCCCCTCCCCCTTTACCCTCTGGTAGGCAACTGTATTTCTAGTGGTCTCCCTTTAGCTCCTTTTCAACCATACATGGGCTTACTACCCATATGAAGATGGTGTTACTGACCCAGCTCCTCAGGATGCTCAGTTTGAATCATGATTTTTTTTTCCTTTTTATTTTCAAATAATATGGTATATTATTCAAACATATTATAACATTTAAGTGAGTTATTAGTGTACATCAGTGGACAGTACATGGCATTTGAAAGCAAAAGACCTGAATTTAATGCTAGTTTTATTAACTAATAGTTAGTAGCCTTCAGGGGAACAGTAAACCCTGAAATGCTTTGCTAAACAAAGGGTGTAGCGTCAAAAAACTTGTGATTGAATAAGCATTTTAAGAAACGTTTCATACTGTTTCTTTGTCCTGGAGATACACAGTGCACATTAGTATAGTAAAGCCTCTGAGAAGTCTTATAGTAAAAATACCCAGTGAACTTGGATAAATAAGTATTTCTCACTCCCCTTTTGTAAAGAGAATCTACTTTGACTATAATATTGCCTGGAATTAGTAATCCATAAAAAGCCCTTTGGAAAATGCTGCTATAACTGAAATCACCCAAATTTCCTTTAAATCCAGATATTCTAAGCTTCCCAAGCTATGTGAACTTCTTTTTTTTTTTTTTAGCTGAGCCATCCTGCCACCAATTGGCAACTCAGCGGCAGCTCAGCTCAGGCCGTGAATCAAACCGGGGACCCTGTTGCTCAGAGCTCAAACTCTTGAGCGAGCTCTTAACCAACTGAGCCACTCGGCCGGCCCGCTATGTGAACTTCTAAAGTTATACTTGTTCTGAGCCAAAAGATCAAGAAATTATATTTTCATTTAAATGTCTTATCCCTAGATATTTGTCTGTGGATCCATGTCCAAGGATCCCAAAGCTCAGTCAAGAATGGTCTGCAATGTTTTGTACTTTTAATTATATTCAGTGTCTGCAAACTTGGCTTCACTGTTTCTCTTTTCAGACTTTATTCACTATTTCTTTTTATTTATTTTTTCAGGGGAGCACTATTTAATCTCTTGGTAATTTTAATTAGCAAGCCTCAGATTCCAAAATCTTGTCCTGTGTTTGAGATCCAGTTGGTGGCTGATTCAACTTTCGTTGAGATGTCTTTTGATGCTGAGGTGAGATAAGAGTTTTGGGATAGATTAAATGTAATAGAGGCTTCTTGTCCTCTAATATGGACCAGGACATTGTAGAATACAGAAATATAATTCAATCAAAGAATAAATATTGTCATTAACCTCAAAACTTAGATAGCTATTCTGTCAATATTAATAAACCCATTTAATATAAATTATTTCCTTAGTTTACATATGTAAAGAATACATACTAAGGAAGATAATTAGTATTCTGTGTATATTAGGTAAATCTGTTTGTCTCTCTAT